GCCAGCCCTCAATGCTGCCTGGAGTGGGCTGCGAGGCACTCCGGTGGCAATTTAAAAGGTCTGGGGCTCCGGGCACCACTGCTGCCCCTTTCCCTCTCCCTCTCTCCCATCCTGCACAGGCCCTGCATCTTGCTTCTTCACATTGTCTTCCAGATGATGGTGACAGACCAAGATCTCAAGATAGCAAAGAGGCGCACAAGCGAGGCGCAGCTAAGCCTCATAAATCAGGCATGAGAAAAACAAACCACAATTTAAAAGGTCTGGGGCTCCGGGCACCACTGCTGCCCCTTTCCCTCTCCCTCTCTCCCATCCTGCACAGGCCCTGCATCTTGCTTCTTCACATTGTCTTCCAGATGATGGTGACAGACCAAGATCTCAAGATAGCAAAGAGGCGCACAAGCGAGGCGCAGCTAAGCCTCATAAATCAGGCATGAGAAAAACAAACCAGCATGAAGCTGTTAGAGCCAACACGGCGCTGAACCTTTAAAACAGGCCTGATTCTGAGCATCTGCAAAGACCACCTCCCTGAAAGTTCTTGGAAAGCTACACTAATAAATCTCACACTTGTTACTAGGGATCTGTATGTTTAACTGGTTAACCTTTAGCTTGATCGGTGAGGTTTACTGGTTAACGTTGACTGGTGGGGGCTGCTCCAGCTCCGCAGGCGATCCACCATGGACGGGGGCTGCTCCGGTTGTCTGAAGCAGCCCCTGGCCATTGGTTAACCACTTAACCAATTAAACAGAATTTTACATCCCTACTTGTTACCTTCATTTAAAACCAAATAAACCTCTAATGGGACCAGACTCCTTCCTGGAAATGACAACATGCATGGAAGTATGCCTTTAACTTGCTTTTTTGATTGACATCTTCATATTTTACCAGCAAGCATTAACTTGAAAGCCTTCAGCAGTTATTTCGAAGATACCAAGGGAAGGGAAATGGTTTATTGGATTTTTCAATCACAGTCTCAAGCTTTTATTAATCAGCCGTTAATAACAATATTCAGGACAGCACAACAAAATCTGAGGTTGTAAATATGAAATCGGCAAAATCGGCTATTGAAACCATGGTGAACTAACCCCAGGCTTTTAGGAGAAGGTTGCTGTGCATAGTTTGCTTCCAGAGTCCTGGGACAAGTGGGTAAGTTTTCTTTCATTTTAAGCTTGCTTGCATTAGGGAATTCCACCAAAAAAGTCCCACTAAAGGCATCAGTAGAAATGCAAGTGCCAATAAATCTTGTCTGGCTGTAGGTTGCGTCTACACTTTCAGTTCGAGGTGTGATTCCCGGTGTGTGTAGCTCGCATCTCACCTAGTGCACTAAAAATAACTAGAGTTCATTGGCACAAAAAGCCCCTTATTCTGCACTCAGGACCTGACTTGGGGGTTGCTGAATCCCCCTCAAGTGACACTGACTAAGTTACAGGTGCAACTTCTCAGGGCAAGTGTCACACTGCACTTACATATTGTTTATGGAAATGTGGTTTTGAATGTGAATATGTATAGATTGCATATGCTGATGCAAATCTGGGCATGTAACATTCAAAAGCTTGTAATTGCCCAAATGTGCATATTTTATTTGTGTGCACACATCTTTCTTGTATGTGAAGTTAGAAATATGAAGTGTCAACCTGTTTATTAAGCTAGGTCTTCTAGGGAAAGCTATAAATAGTGCTTACGGTACTTAAGGGCCCGGTGCTCAAGGCAATGATCTGTAAATAGTTTTGTTTTTCCAGTCAGCCTAAACTATGGTTGGTCCTAAAAAGACAGGTGACCATACCACCTGATGCTGGAATCCATACTGAATTTGGTATTTTTTCATGGGGGTAAGAAGAATGGAACAAAGAGTTCCCGCCCTTGGGGAAATTTTATTTCAGGGATAGGAAGCAAACAATAATTGTCTTCAGCTGGCTTCACAGAGTGCTCTCCACTACATGAAAAGACCTGGAAACAAAAGAATTCTAACAATGGGGAGAGAAGCTATTAGGCTCAGGTCAAAAAAAAAGATCCGCTTTAGCTGTGAAGAACTTTACCTGAAATAAAGACTAGGGTGATCAATTATATTTATAACAATTTATATTAGTGCATTAGGCTTAGCAGGTGTGTTTTGTTTTATTTTAGATTAGCAAGTTACTTTGAGCTGTCCGCTATCCCTTGCAATCACATAAATCCTACTTGTTATACAGGTTGGACCTCCCTGATCCAGCACTCATGGGACCTGACTGGTCCTAGATAACGGATTTTTCTGGACCAGGGGAGGTGATTTCTGGCCCCCCTGCCACTGGCTCCTTCAGCACTGGCCTGGCCACCGCCACTGGCCCCTGCTTCCCTGCCAGCCAGCCCCAACTCTGCATGCTGGGTTCCTGCTGTCCTGCCAGGCAGCCCTGCCACCTCTGCACACCAGGCTCCCACCACCCTTCTGGGCAACCTCGCCATTTCCAGGTGCCAACTCTCCACCAGGATTCTCTGGTCCTTTGGAACATCCATGATCTGAATGTTGCCAGACCAGAGAGTTCCAGTTTAGAGAGTTTCAACCTGTACTTAATAAAATCACTTTTGTTTTTACGATTAAATAATTGTTACCCTGGAGAAGGTGCGGGGGAGCGAGGGAGGGGGGAGACACAGCAGCTGTGACTCTCTCTCTTTCGTTCACAAAGGGTGCAAACTTTCTGATCTTTCTTGTGTAAAACTTCTATAGGGTAAGACAGATTTATCTGGGCTTCTGCTCCCATTGGGGTTGTGCATCAGGGTGCTGTGTCAAGCCTCAGAGCTGACCTGTTCTCAGTCTCTGGGAGAGGGGGTCTGTTACCACAATTCTATGCCTTTGCTGGGGGAGACCACACCTTCTGGCTCAACCAGACAGGGTGACGGGGCCTTGCTGAGGGTAGGGAGGCAGGCTCAGTGGTATGATATTCTCAAGGGGATCTCTGTGACCCAAACCATCACAGAGAGGCCTTGGGAGATTCTAATTCCGATCCCAGTTCAATTAGCAGTCTCTTCAATGAAGTCGATAGCATTACACTGAGTATAAAACTGGGGAGAGCCCCTCCCCCCCGGCACACATTCCTAGCAGCTCCACGGCAGAGCTTGCAGCCTGGGATTGCTCTGACTGCGAAGTTCCTGCCACTCCACACCTCCAAATGCCAGCAGCAGCAATCTGGGATTCGCGACTGCAGGTCTCGCGAAGGGAATTTAATGGACCGGTGAACTTGTATGTTTATCCCGCTTCCTCCCAGAGTTATGAAGCTTGTCAGCTGCTGTGTGCAGCCAGAAGACAGCAATTAGACTCTACTCAGATCCTGGGGGTGGAAGAATTTCACTTGAATCTCAAAAAACGTGGATGGGCATGTTCCAGCTATGAGTTCTCTTTCAAATTTGCATCAGAAGAAACAACAAATGTGGTGCGTCCACATGGTTAGCTGGGAAAAGAACCTCCTTGGGTGGTTCTTTTTTCATGGTACTACACACTTCAACCTCTTTAATCCGGCACCCTTGGGAAACAGGGTATGCCAGATTAAAGATCTTGTGGGGCCACGGAGCTCACCATGGAGTCTTGGCGTGAGGGGGTCTGGGGGTTGGGCTCTGTATTAGGGATATGAATGGGTAACCGGTTAACTGGTTACCTGCTAAACATCACCCTTACCAGGTGATACTTACCTGCTGCTCCAGCCCTACTGGGCCCATCGTGGGGTGGGCCAGCATCAGGCAGCCCTGTGGGGATGGAGAGGCAGAGAGCGGCAGCACCAGAAGACCCACGGGGCCAGAAGCAGCAGCCCCACGGGGTTGACAGAGGTGCCCGCCAGGTACCTGCTTAATCAGTTTAACTGGTTAACTGACTAAATGGGATTTTACATCTTTACTCCACGCCCCCCGCTGCTCCCAGGCACCACCCCCTGCTGCTATAGGAGTAGTGGGGAAAAGCTGCAGGGGAAGCATGTGGCTGCACTGCCGGAGAGGGAACGGCAGTGCACACAGTCACTTCCTCCTCCGTACTACAGGTGCTCCTGGATCAGGGATACCCAGAGTGCAGAGATTCATGGGGAATTGTTTGGTAGCCTGCTCCAGGAGAACACTGGACATGTTCATTCAGGGTAAAATACTGCTTTGTTCCTAGCCAACACATGGCTTTGTTCCCAGAGTAAATGTTCTAAGGGAGAAATATGCCGCTGTGCAGAGTAACTCAGGCAGCATTCAAGTCAAAATAGGACTCATGTGGGATTTAAGTGGTTTGTTGGTGTCATCCCGGCCCCTCTGCATGGGGGACAATTTCATTCCCAAAAGATTCCGGACAAAGTTCGGTCTCATACAAGCAAACGGGATTGATCCAAAGCCCCCTTGAAATCAACATGAGCCTTTTCACTGATATCCCTCGGCCCTTAGCGCCTAGAGCCCTATTAAAATTCCGAACCATGTGTTGCTTTCAGCTAAGACTTTCAAAACTCACTAATGGCTTTCAATGCCCAAATTCCCATTAACATTATTTGAGGAAGTCAGGCATCCAACCCTCCTAGGCAGTGTTTAAAAACTGAGCCTTAAAATCTACCTGCGCTGGTGTAGCCGTAAGAGCTACGGTCAAAATACCCAAGAGGAAAACTGCATCTTCACTGCAAATATCTGCCAACTCTGGCCTGAATCTAAGAATACTTGCAGTGTAAGACACACAACCGGCTAATTGTGCAGGTATGAATCACAGCTCTCGCCTTAGAAAGGGATTTGGCTCCGTAGCGAGTTACTATATTTGCACTTCCTTAACAACTGGGATTTCTAGGGCTTCTTTCTTCCCATTCTTTAGATGACCGCACCATGGAAACCCTTTGGGAAACCCGACCAGGCTAGCTCAATCACTCTTCTCACCACCTCCCACCATCCTGCCCCCCACTTCGTTTTCAAAGAACGAATAGGTTTGAGATCCTTGTGTTTCATTGGGGCTGCATTGTTTGTTTGTTTTAACTTTCTCCCCTCCCTTCAAGACATGGTATTTCAAATGCGTAAATTGTTACCATGGGTTGTTGAACTTCCACTTTGATGATATCTTCGTAGATATCATCGCCTTCGTCTTCACAGGGCACGCAGTCATAAATATCCTCCCCCAGATCATGTTCGCTGAAACAAAAACAAGATATTTTAGAAATACAGAGGATACGGTCTCCACAGGTAGATTATGCACAAGAACCTCAGCATCCAGTACGTGCTGGAGGAGGATTTAGAAATACAGAGGATATGGTCTCCACAGGTAGATTATGCATGAGAACCTCAGCATCCAGTACGTGCTGGAGGAGAGGGAAAAGGAACAAAGCCCAAACACTTTAATGTTCTCATTTCTCTTCCCCGCTTTGCATGAAGGACGTTTTTGCGATACACCACGTTTACACCAGAGTCGGAGGTAGACTGTGTCACACTCCACAGCTATATTGCTTCTAATGGGCCAGCCTATTTCAAACTAGGGTTGCCAGGTGTCCGGTTTTGAACCAGACAGTCCAGTATTTGAGCTTTCTGTTTGGGAAACAAATTGAGAAAATAGAAATGAGACAATAGAAATGTCCGGTATTTTCTAAATCAGATGTAATGTCAAGTGTGTCTGGTATTTGTGTAGAAGCCATCTAGCAACCCTATTTCAACCATCAAAGGAAACTGGTTCCCCTCCTGGACTCAGCTACTGCAGCTATTTATAGCACTTTATTCGTTCCATGTCCTTCACAGAAATCAGCTAATTAGTCCCGCTAACACCCTGAGGTAGTTCACAGACACATCGATTCCAAGAGCAGAAGGGCCCATGGTGATCTGACAGGTTGACCTCCCAGGAGCCGTCTACACTGCACACTTAGCCCCCACAGGGTCTGATTCAGGGCTGAGCCCAAGGCCCTCTTCTGTCCACACACAGGCAACTTATACCAGCTGCTTATCTCGCGTTTCACCCGCAGTCCTCCAATGGACTTGCCCCCCTGCCCCTCCAGAGATGAATCTGGCCCACAGCATGCTTGGAGCCATAGCTTTATACGCTCTTTTTGGCCGTGTTGGCATTGCAACAGCACTCAGAGGCCACAAGTACATCTGGGACCTGCCTGTGGTAGCCGATGTATGTACATACAGTAAAACACACATCCTGCTCTGAAGGCGCGCGCGCGCGCACACACACACGAGTGACTGTGAGCAGCAGGAAAATAATTCTGTGTCAATTGACTAATAGATTTAATAGCCTCTGATGAAGTGTGATTTTACCGTGAAAATATATGCCCTAATAAACAAACAAACTTTTTTTTCCTGCTATAAAATACCTGGTTTCTGTTATTCCTCTCCAGCTCATCATCTGAGGAAGCGGGATTTGCCCATGAAAGCTCATGATTCTACATATTTCTGTTGGTCTCTACGGTGCCACAGGACTCTGTTGTTTTTAAAGTTACAGACTAACACAGTTACTCCGCTGAGACAAATAAATCTGTTCGTCTTTAAGGTGCCGCAGGACTCCCATTCTTTTTGCATATTTATACTGTTGCCCACATTCCCAAGGCAGTCTACAGCCGAAGTCAAAGTGATAATTCAGCTTAGCACAATGTTGTTTTTATGTTTTTTTTAATAATTTTGATGGATAACATCAATGTTTGTCTTTAAGCATTTTTAATCAATTTAAATTTTCACGGTTGTGGGAATTTATTGGGGACAGCGTGGATGAGGGTCCAGGGGATAACTCTTTAACACTTGATATAACCGTTTAAACCCAAATTCTCAACATCACATATCAAAATATACAGCATACATGTCCTTAAATCACACTAACGACTTTTCAAGTAGCACTTGTCTTTCTTTGCCTATCTATACATTTTGATCCTCATCCATGGAAATATTTTTCCATCAGTTGTACAGGGAAATCAAACTTTTCCAAAATCTATTGACAACAATCAAATCCCCCCAAGCCCAATTTCAAGCGTTAAAGGGCTTACTACATTCTACAGGGTTAAAAAGAGCTGTGTGGCTCTGGGACCTTGAATTGTCAGGTCAAGTTTATCCTAACAAGTTGCCTGAGCTGTTAACTTCCAAAAGGGCATCGGAAACGTGCCTTGTGGGGATCTTGCAACTGAAACACAAAGCTTTGTTTCTTGCAGCACAAGGGGAAACATTGCTGCTCTGTGCTAGTGCTTTCTTTCAACTCTGTGTGTGACAGAATCACACATCCTGTGTTCAAAGCTATCTATGCAACCTTTTCTTGCAGGAGTCATTGAAATGCCAGAGAAGATCCCCACATGGGCAAAGGAATAAGGGAAGGTTCAGGTGGAGGGGAGAGCAGCACACAAAAAGAATATAAGTAAGCAAAGGATTTTTACTGTTATTATCCTTATCAAGAAAAAGAAATATGACAGCAGTGCCTGGAGACTGTGATTGGCCCCACTGCATGGCTAGGTTAGGGTGACCATCTGTCCCGTGTTTACCGGGACTGCTTCGTGTTTTAGCTGTCTCCCAGGCATCCCAACTTTTTTTTAAAAAGGGGTAAAATGTCCCATGTTTGCACACCCCCTGCTGGTTCTTGAGTGCCCCGGTTACTGCCAGCCACAAAAAAGCAGGCACCAGCATGTGGTGTGTGGAGTCAGGCAGGGTGCCGAGGGAGAAACCAGGTAGTAGCTTCCCTCCCTGTGCACCCTAAAGAAGGGGGGAGGTCTGCCAGCCTTTCAGGAACATGGGGCTGAAGCCCCAACCACTGGTGCCCCTTTCTTGAGCACCCCCACCTCTGGCTGCAGCCCCGTTCTCAGGCGGCACCCACCTGCTGCGGGGCTGAAGTCCCATTCCCGGGCAGCCCCTGCCACGGGGGGCGGCTCCTGCCCCCATCCCATTTCCTCCCTGTCCCCTCCACTGTGGGAATTTCCCTCCGCTTCCTCCACCCACTGCAATGCTGAAGCCCTGAGCCCTGGCAGTTCCTCCCCTCCCCCCCTCCCCCAGCCACTATGGGGCTGAAGTCCTGAGTGGCGCCAGTGCCCCCCTCCCCCATTGGTGTCCTGTATCGGGTACAGGGAAATATGGTCACTCTGAGCTAGGTGCTATGCTGACACAGATCCCAGATTTCCAGTCAGAGCCATATAAATGTACTCCTGCATGTGCATGGGGCCCCGTTGACTTTCATGAGGCTCAGCATAAGTGCACAGGTCCAAATGGGCCGATCCCCCTGGGAAAATCAGGATTCAAGAGGAAGACACAGAGGTGACAGCCACATTCAAATAGCCACTTCCCACTCCGGTGATTTTCCTGCGAGTCTCGTGATTTGTTGATGTGATTTGGAGCCACGTGAATGCATGTGCATGTCAGCTTTCACTGTTACAGAGCAAGTTTTAACCTTGATTGCTTGTGAGAGAAGCTTGAAAACATCTCTCAAGTGCACCCTAAAGACTTATGGTATGGGGGAGAAAGCAGAAGCCAAATGAGAAGAAACCAACATTTTGTGAAATCACATGATTTTTACACTCACCCTATGATTTTTTAAATACTTGGGATTGGTGATAATTGAACTAGAAACATGAACCTGATCTCAGCTTGATTTTAAACACACACACACACACACACACACACTTACTTTGGATTTAGAGTGCTTGTTGGCGTCAGTGGCTCAGTAAAGATAAAAGAGACTAAATGCTGATCTTATTTATTTCGATGGATCATTATACTAAGGACAGATCTATACTAAAGCCGGAAGGTTGGCTTAAGGTAAATAGCATATCTGGAGTCGATGTATCCTATGCCAAGTTTCAGCACTGTCCCCACAGTGGGAGGTTGATGGGCGAAACGCTCCCATCGACTTCCTTTACTCCATGCAACTGTGAGGAGTACTGTGGTTGATGGAGGCACTGTCAGCAATCAATTTAGTGGGTCTTTACTAGATCCGCTAAATCATACACCAGAAGATTGACCACTATAGCGCCGATCTCCGCGACAGTGAAGACAAGCCTGAAGGATAATATAGCATGAGGTAGCATGTAGCTACATAATAAAGGTCTCTGGATTATTGGGATTCCAGTCTAAGTAAATCCACCAACCTTTAGCTTCTTTTAGGCTGCATTATTAGAATCATCTGAATTAAGCTTAGTGTAAAATACCTAGATTGTGCGTAAAATGGTCTTTGACCCTCAATATCTTCTAGAGAGAAAAATCTAAATTGGACAATTCCAGAGTCCACTCTCTGTGTTTTCTAACTTGTCTCTCTTTGCTAAGCAATATATTTTTAGAAGCCTGGATTTGAATTATTTTAACTCTCCTTAGAAAAAATATAAACAATTCTCTAGAATGAAACTCAAAGGAAACTGCTGACTGACCCAGCCAAAGATGCTAACACATCAATGCCAAGGTAGCTAAGAGACACAGAGAATAATGTGATATTCTGCAGAATCATAGTTGACTGAGAGGCCTGCTTTTTGAAAGCTTTGATGAAGGCAAACAAACATCCGTAGCAGTGTGAAAAACATCTTCTTTGCCAAAATCCAAAAGGAGCACGTAGAGAGGAGCTATCTACTGTAGGCTCAGCAAAAGTCCCAATGCCTTACAACATAGAAGGAGAGAAGAAAAAAAGGCACAAAATCCAATTTAGGATCAGGACTGGCCAGAAAATCAGACTACCAATATTCGCAAAAGTGGATTTTGTTTCTCTTTTAAATGCTTTTATTCCCATTTCTAAATGCACATGCAGTCAACACAAGTATGTTTTTAATATGCCCCGGTGTGCATTACTGACTCTGTTCCTACAGAGCAATATTCACTGTAGCTGCTCTAGTAATACTTATTACTAGCCAGCGATCCATCTTCCCTTTTTCCAAGTGGCGTCACTGCAGTTATTCCGTCCCAATATTTGTATTCTGAGCTGTTCCCTTCAGCCAGAGCAACTGCATCCAGATTCCCAATTTATCTTCCATTCCAGCAGGCAGCCATCAGATTTCGAGCTATATCGCCGTATATCATTTGAGTGGCTGGAAAGTCATTAGGCAGCCTAAGGTTGAGTTAACATTGCACCTGTTATTCCTTCCATCAGCCAGCAGGACCCCGTACTGGGTGACCAAGCCAAAAGTCATGTGTGAAGCCCCCAAATGTTGGCCAGCCACATCGACTGCACCGCCACGACTCTTAAGTCC